GTGCCAAAGACGTTTGGAAGAGTCACACGTGAAAAAAAATGAATAAATGAAATGTCTCGTTTAAATAGATTAGTTTTGTGGACGAAATTAAGTGTATTCTGTCTTGTTACTCTTCAGATGTACAAACCTGAGACGTTACGTCACGCTACGTTCTAATGACTGTAGTTCACATGGTAATAAGAGTCGTGTGTTAGGCTAAGCTTTCTTGAGATGCTGTAGGATAGGGGGTGTTAGTGTGTCATAGAACATTTTTTTTTAAGTTAGTGTGCTCTGGGCTGGAAAAGGTAGACAAACAATGGTTTAATGTATAGTTTAGTGCTTGATAACAAACAAACAGCAGCATAGCGTTATGTTATAACATTCAATGTTGTAACTATTATTATAAACCCAGATTAATACTAGAATTACTTCCGCAGAGCTTTCAAAAGTGTTCTGTTTCGAGATTAACAAACATTTTTTTTCTTGCTTTTGAAGTTCATGTGTCATGCTGTGTTTTAGCCTATAGAGTGCATAATTCTTCTCGTGATTCATGGCTTGCGCACGTTTTACTGACGGTCACGACAGTACAAATTCCAACGTTAAGAGTACTTTATGTAATATCATTTTAGTGTCTGCTAACAACACACTACTGTATGGTGGTGTGAGTGATTAAAACAGGTGACTGTCCAGGCTGCCTTCGGCCTCTTTTGGGGGAAATAAGAGAAAGCTTTTGTAAAAGAAAAAAAAGGAATGGACACTAAATGCTAGTTGAGACAAAGGTGGCACCCTGAAAGATAAGAAAGCATCCACCGGTGGGTGAGCAGTAAATTTACGGATTTATAAATCCAGGGCTCGATTCACGAGGTGGTCAGAGCGCGTGTAGCCTAGTGTCTAGCTTTACGCTAAAACAACAGCATATAATTGTTTATTTGGAATTAAGCACAAAGCTACACAATGGGCCATCTGTGCTCTGCCCACCACGGGTATCGAAACCCGGTTTCTAGCGTTGTAAGTCCGTAGACATACCGCTGTGCCACTGGGGGTCACAGCATATAAAAGAAGTTTTTATACAATTTTTATAACATTATAACAGTTAAAGAATTTGAAAAAGCGAAGATAAACAGATGATATTTTTTATATTAATGTAACTGAATAATTAATTACATACAAATAAAATTGTAATTAATTAAATTCAATAAATTTTTAGTCTATAACATTATAACGAAGTAGAAATCTTCAATTTCCTTTATTAACTAATCAACATGTATAATTGATACTTGAAACCGTCGGTACTTGGTGAAACTCCATAATTACAGAATTGAGGAAAAACAGGACAACTGTACGTTTTCACAAATACATAATTTATTACGACGGTGGTTTCGCCAGTAAAGGTATCATCAGGTACAGCCTGAAATTGTATGTGTGTATGTGTCCTGGCAGTTATTTTGATGTGAAATTAATTACTTCAGTAGAAATAATTAATCTTCAGGGGCGTTCAAAGATTAAACAATCCTCCTTCACCCCGCTCGTGGATTAGAGGTGGCGTGGGCATGATAAGAAGAATACCGTATTTTCGGGAATATAAGACGCACCCTTATTTTGAAGACAAAGTTTTGATGCTGCTTTAAACCTCTGGCAAAAATTATTTTCCACGAAGTTTAAGTTCAGATATTCTCTTTGTCATTTTGACTCATCACTACCACCGCGCAGCTAGATATTTTTCTCACACAATCATTAGTTCATTTCGTCGACACTGGCTCTTTGTTGATTGTCCTTGAGAATTTTTTCTCATTTGATAGTCGTTTCATTTCTTGATAAGAACAAAAAAATAGCTGGTAGGGTTTTGTACTATAATAGTTGTTTAACGTAACCAATATAGTCTTACAGTTGCTTGATCACTGACCAATAATAGTTCTTTTATCATTTGCTCTCACCAACATTAATTTTAACACTTTATCACTTGGAATTGGCATACTGTGGAACAGTTTGTCTGATGATGTGTTTTGTTGTTGTTTTTTTGTAAATTATGGGATGGTTTTTCGGGCGGAATGATCTCCAGTCACCTTGCTTATTCTGGTGGAATCTTCTCGAACAATAATTCGTCTTGGCTTTTAAAAATATCGTTTAAAAATCCAGTTGCTCCGACCGTTATTCCCAAATTTGTTTATTTGTTTCCACCTGTGAAAGAATATATTTATAAAAATGTATCGCAGGGTCACCGTTACAACAAGTGCTCTGTAAATATGCACTACCGGCACTTGTGTTTAAATTTTTTTTAATTATAATAAATAATTAAAAACAACGTTTTATATTTACACAATAAAAACATTATTGAAGCCGTACGGCTTCCACTTTAAAATATCTCTCTACAAGTACATGTTTCGACGTGATCTACGTCATCCTCAGGAGTAACTTACAAGACTATTTTACACTTCCCCCCCCCCTTGTCGCATTACTTCATTGTTATTTACATATTTCTCTTAAAAACAAAAAATTATAATGTATCTCGCCATATATCAATGTATTGAATAAAGTTTTTATTCTGTAAATATAAAACGTTGTTTTTAATTATTGATTATAATTTTTTTAAAAAAGTGCTCTGTAGTTTAACTGACAGTGTGAAGTGCTCTGTTTTCAAAGCACTTCTCTCAGCTGTTGGCTTCGAAAAATGGAAAAGTGGTTTATGTATTTTTCCCGCCATTAAACCTATCAAAAACTCGGATTAGCCGCTGCTGATTCGAAAGTTCGAAACTTTTTCGACAGAACTGGAAACTCGAAGTGGAAACAAGAGCAAAAGTCCTGGAGTCCATTTTCGATCGGTTATGAAACAACGCCTCTTGACGTTTAATGTCAATCAAGATCCTTTGTTGTTGTTGTTTGACTGAATATCCACTGTTCTGACGTTGTCAAAATTATTAAGGTTGCGTGATTTGCGTCGAGTAACTCGGATGTCTGTTTCCTGAAAATAGGATACTTATTAAAAACCGCTGTTAGTAACACCTTAATTACTTATGTATGCATATTACAACTGAAAGGCTACTCGTACAGAAAGAGCGTACAATTGTTGTTGATTCTAATTATGTTTAAACTGTGCAATAAGAGGAAAAGATTCGCATGGTTGCCAATGTACCAAGAAATGACATTAAAACATTGGAATAAGTTTATAGGTCATGCTTCTGGATTACCTTTTCAGTGTATCTTAACTCATTGCCATGCAAGTTTACAGTCACATTATACTTTAGAGCGTTTTAAAACGGTTAATATTCTATATGAGCACAATCCACCTTAAGCATTACTAGAATAGATAATTGGAAGAAAATGTAAAAAAAGAAACTCGGAGTTTGCATTGTTCTTAAATGCAGAGTGTAGGAAGCTTCCATTTACAAACGCAATGTATGACAGTAAAACTTGTTTTTACTGATGTGCTTACTAGTTATTTATAACCCTCAATCGTAAGCGAGACCGTCAGAGACGATTGTAAGGTTTATTAGACGAAAATTCTCGTCACCGCCCGTGATGATCTGAAGAGAATCGAAACAGCTACAAACTGTATACAGTACTCAGTTCGTCATGGTGTATCAGACGAGATCATTCTGTTGCAAGGTTGCAGATTTCTAGGTCTAATATTTAACTAAACCTGTTCGTTTAAGAAGACTACGTGGTTTAGCAGGTTGTCAAAATGTATGGTTCGCGTTCTTTTGCTGTAAAATCGGGCTCCGAACTTTGGAGCCATGAGTGCGCTATAAGAGTGACAGTCAATTTGTTGTTGCTACTGTTTTTTCTAGCGCAGAGCTACACAATAGGCTACTTGCACTCTGTCTACTACGCGGAATCAAACCTCGGATTTTAGTGTTGTAAGTTTGTAAACTTATCGCTGGGGACATGACAGTCTAGTTCCAACATTTGGTTAGACAAGAGTAGGTCAAGAGTTGGCGGTTGATACTACTGACTAGCTTTCTTCTCTCTAGTCTAGCAGTTCAAAATTAGGGACAGCTATGCGTGGATTTCCCTTTGTGTAGATTAGTGCGAAAATTCCTAAATATACTAAAAATTTACGTATAAAATATAAGATTGATATTTTTTATTAATTATATTTAAAAATGATTGAAATACTTTTGTTTTTCTTTTCTTTTCAGAACTTGTATACTCATAGAAAAAACAAGATTGAATTTATTATTAATTTTTTGTAAATATTTCTGGATTAAGGTAATAGTTTTTTAAACTATTAAGTAATTGAAAGTTTATATTGAAACTTAGAGCATTGTTGAGCTTTTGATTTTCAGATAAATATTCGATGTTTTGATACGGTTACTGTCCAAATCACAAGGAAACTTTTTTTTTTGTTAATCCAATTTATTGCCCCCGTTAAGATTGAGGGCTTATAACACTAAAATTTGGTGTTTCATCCCTGTAGTGAATACAACACACATAGCTCATTAACGGAAGATATTAAAATATTTTTACTTTTTATGTCTAAATGAGAAAATTTGGTACGTATCAAATAATTGCTCAATTATTTCCAGACTTACAAACTTATTTGTCATATTGTCAAAGCGATTATTATCGCGAACAATGATTGGCTTTTAATAAGAAAATTAAATTTATGAAATACACACATTTATACCATTTATATTGCTCTCATAATATTTATAAACTTCCTCACAAAAGTTCGGCTGATAACAGTATACCATGATAAAACAAAATATTTTTTTGTTAGTTTGTTGTTAAGCGCAAAGCTACACAATGGGCTCGACAATCTGTATAGAAACCCGACTTTAAGCCTATTGAAGCCTCGGAATTGCCGCTCAGCTACGGGAGGGCAGATATTGTTGTAGCGTGTAACCCTTATTATTATAACCAGAAGCGGAACTTAATAAAAATTCTCTTTATTCTTAGACGGAAAGAAATTTGTCATAAAAAAAATCGCGCTTTAATTTTTTTAGGTGATTTTTGAAATACTGTCAGCATTTTACTGTTAACATTTCTGTACTATATTATATATCTTTTATTATTATTTTTAGATGCATGCACATCACCGATATAGGGCTCGGCTACTTGTCTACAATGACTAATTTATGCGCCCTCTACCTAAGATGGTGTTCACAGATTAAAGACTTTGGAATTCAACATCTTTGTAGCATACGTCGTCTTCAAATATTGTCGTTTGCAGGTATTAACGCTTTTTTGTTTAGCATTTTGAATTTAATCAATGAAAACAATTATAACTGAATAAATTGATTATTAATTACTTTCTTTTCAAAATAGATAATCATAATAATTAATTTAACTGTTCAGAACAAAATACAAAAGTAAGGGAAATATAATATAATTTATTTCAAACGAGAAAATTTATATTAGGTAATGTGTTTGGGTTAGCATTACTACGTTGTGATGATTGGTATTGTTACGTCTCCGTTTGTTAATTAACTTTCCGTAACTTCGTTCCGACGAAACTTTAGCGACA